TAGTGACAAGGGCTAAGAGCTGGGACTCACTTCCTTTAGTACACTAAATCAAGTATTTTGTAGGACATGCTGCAAACCTAAACATATTTGATGAAGATTTCTCTAGAAATTGAGTTGAGTGAGTGAAGAGACAGTGCTGTTTTCAGTGGATAGTTCGTACCTTGCAACTACATAGCTGTGCCTGTAGCTTTATTTAAAAAATAAGGAAGTGGCATCTTACTTTCAACAGTCTCTCAAGCTTTAGCAGTGAAGCCATCTGAGAAAAGCCCTCTGTCTTCCCATCTCCCATTCTATCATTCTTATCTGAGACACAGTTTACAGCAGCATCTCTCTGAATAGTGCCAACAGATCATTGAAATAATCAAGGTCAGCACTCAAAAAAAGAGATGGTGACCAACTATGCTTAACCTAGATAATTTTATAAAATCTAACTTAGACTGTGGCTCCACAATCAGCATAACTGGATGGAGCAAGGAACTGCTTCTCGGACGACAGGGAGCAGGAATTTCTGAAGGCAGTTTTGCTGCTGAGGCACGCTAACTTTTCAAAACCGGACCTTGGATCTTTAAAAAAAAGAACAAACAAGCACAAAAACCCCATCTCCCTAGAGTTAAGGAAAAATGCAATTTAAATAAAATACATTATTAAATTAGCAGAGTAGCCTGGACTGTGGGACTACATAGTAGACCCAGTCTTGTGCTACTGCCATTTTTGTCCATAGCAAGGTTACAACTATCAGGTTATAAAGCGAAAATCCACCTTGCTGCCTGCGCAACCCCTGTTAACTCAGAACAGTCATTTGAACATGGCTGAACACCAGCAAAATGTTATTTCTTGCTTAAACTAGAGGTCTGCTGAGGCTTTTCAGTATTTGTTCTGTGTGTACACATTTTCAGCACGATTAGAAAACCAGCATAGCTGCTGTAATCAGCAGATGACTCTTGATAGTTTAGTTATCACAGATTTCTAGTATAAATCAATAGATAACACTTGCAAAATGGATTTTCTAATCATATTTAGAGCTTGTTACAGTGACTAATGGTTTGCAATATTTCCTGAATTTTTATATCCCCTAGACAAAAGAAGTTTCTAATAAGTTACAAAGTTATTCATCTTGGAAATGAATGTGTTATATTTTGTACATGAACCAAGACAATCAAGCCAACCCAGTAAACACACTGCAGAAAATAAGTTACACCATAATTAGGGTTTGGAAAAAGTCATGACAAGTTGTGTAATAAATGGTATTCATCACTCCCACATATTCATTATATCCACAGAGTTTTTTCCAGTAAAGATAAAAATATAGTTGCCATTGTACTAACATATTTATCTGCACCACACCCTTTCATGTTTCTGAAAAATCATTACTGGCTTGGAAAAGAAGGGTAGACAAAAGGATGACAGTGCTTACTTCTGAATAACTTTGGTAATAATGTGGCATATTGCATGTGCTTTCTGAAAATACCAATGTAAAATGACTTGGCTGCAATAGATCATGGCTGCAAACATACATATGCCCGAAAGTGATCTCCTTCCCTATACACGGAATGGAAAAATCATCATTTTCCATAATCCTTGTCAAGCTTCTGATCCAAAGGGAATGGACAAAGTCTGAAAAGATTATAAGAGATGCAAAACCCTTCTAGTCATTTATTATGAGAGAACCTTTTTAAAAAAAAACCAAGTACTCTGTGTTCACGGAAAGTGAACGGCCCTCAGGTGAATCATCACAATTCCCTAGGAGCACTTCTCCCTGAACAGCCTGCATAGTTTTTGTTCGATTATACGCATGTTCAATAAACATTATTCAGCTGATTGATCAAAGCCTTGTTCGATTAGAACTGAAACAGTTAATTTGCTAGTCTACTTGGTGCCAGCTGAAATTGCTGTCACCGGCTTACCTTGTACAGTTTCAGGGCCGCCTCGTGCCTGTGATTGGTAGTGTGTAAGCGCAATTTATCCACGCTGTTGGTATAGTAGTCACAGGCGTTACATTTTAGGTGAACTGGGTTGCCTATGGCAATGCACTTCAGCCTCCACTCATTAGTTTTGCCCCCTTCTTTAATGTGAGCCACCAGTTGATATTTCTGCATGTGTTTGTCAGTCTTGCAGTGGAGCTGGAAGTTCGCTTTGAGCTGAGTGTTGTAGTTACAGAGCTTGCACTGGTAGATGTCTCCAATTACAGCCCTCCACTCCTCTTCGGGGAGCGAACGCTCACTGCTCACATGTACACTTAGGGCCTCCAGGCTGTCAGAGGTGAATTTGTTGCAAACAGCACACTGGAATAGCTTCAGCGCTGGGTCACTGATATAAGGTGACAGCTCTCCTGCAGTAAGGAGGGACAGGTCATCACCCATTAGCTGACCACTGGCAAGCCGGATTTCAGGCGGCAGCTCATTATTTACTACAGGAAAAAAAAAATTAAAAGGGAAAGTAGAGACTAGCAAGCATAGCACGCACAAAGGAATCTGTAAAATAAAGCCTTGACAAGGAGTTT